GCGAGGGATTTGGCTCTTAAACGGTGGGGTTTACGTAAAAAATATAATGGCCAGGTACCACGCCATGAGCCCCATGGTGAGCAAGCGCTATTCGTTTTTCACATCCGTCAACTTTTAAGTACTTTATTTGGCGATTTTGTGCAGTTTCCGTTTATTTATTTAAAACGCCACTCGGCTGACCGGGGTTGCCCCTGGCAACGCACACGCGTCATCGGTGGAGGGGGGGGATTTCTCTTTCACCTTCAAAATGCAAATCAACGCTGAGGTAAATTCTTCAAAGTTTCATGTCCCCCCCACGCACCCTGATGCATGCAGTTACTACTGTACAGTCGGTAGATATTAATATTATCGCGCTTACATATTATTATTGTAGCGCGGGTAGGGGGATGGTGGGGGCGGGGGTAGCAGCCCAGCCCCCAACCTGCCAAGGTGCCACCTCGGCCGGCTGGGCAATCTAGGCGAGGCCGGGGGCTCTGCATGGGACTAGACCTCACCACGGCAATGTTAGGTAGTTTTTTCTTGCTTTTTTCGCTAAACTCGCGTACATAGAAAACTATTATTTAAAAAATACGTTTGGAAATATTCTAATATTAATGTTTGTGTGTAGACAACTAATATTTCAAAATTAAATTGCAAAATATTACCATATGAGTGTGTACTCTTGGGTTCTTTCGGTAAAGTCACGTAGGTGAAAAAATAAAATAGAAATAATCAAATTAAATCACGACGTTTCGGAAGCAATACAAGCTTCCGTCATCAGGTGGGACAACCACAGCAAAGAACAAAAAAATTACTGTAGTGGGCAAAGAGAGCTGTTTGTGACAAGCTATTATATGAGATAAAAGGGGGAGAGGAGCCAGGGAGGAGAGATGCAGGGGGCGGGGGGTTTGGAATAGGGGGGGGGGGAGAGTGAAGCTCCTGTTGAGACACGGCTGGTGAGAACACAATGCTTGAGTTGGGCAATGAGCGGGCCGGGGTGGCGGGGAGTAGAGTTCTGCAGAAACTGAGAATGCGGGTATGGAAGCAAGCTATAAAAGCAATTTAGATTTTACCTAGTTAACAACATCCTTCCAATGGTTGCTCAATTTGAATCCATGCTACTCTTTTCTTTATTCGGTAAAGTCCCGTAGGTAAAATAAAACAAAATACAAGAATTATTTTACCTACGTGACTTTACCGAATAAAACCAAAGAGTATGAATCCTTGCAGTCATGAAAGCTTCAAATCTAGAATGAATCATCCTCTCAGTTGACATTATGTCTGTGTTTGTATATCTAGATGGCTTCATGAACAAACCTTTGATAGTGTTTTATGAAGCTGCACCAGTCTACTGGCAATCTGTCATGTGGCCTGTTGCATGCTTATTAATTCAAGTCAGTGCACTGGCAGTCTATTATCTACACTGTAAACATTGCTACTGGTCAGGGTGAGTGTATGCCAGTCTATAATCTGTTGCCTGCTTCTTTACCTCGCTCAGTGTACTGCCAGTCTTTCATGTAGACCATATCCTGAATTTTAAGCTGCTGACCGTATTGGCAGCTTATTATGTCGACTGTAGCAATGCTTAGGTCATTGAGTCAGCGTACTGCCAGTCTATAATCTAGACTGTAGCCTGCTTATTAACTTAAGTGTGCATACTGCTGCTCTATAATGTAGACTTATTCGAGCTTCTTCAATGCATTTCTATTGTTTGGTTTGCTCACGTCACGCTATTTACTGATATGTAGTACTGCGATGCTGATTTCTATATTATACTGCTAAATACATTGTACTTTCTTAGCTACAGCCGACTTCTTTTCGTCTATCATTTTGTTACATTTGTGGGAAAATCAACCATTTTACATTGGCGTACTGCACCTTTTCTTTCGACCCAAGCAGGGAGCACGCAGGGAGGTTCAATGCCCCAACTTTTGTTGAGCTTGCTGTTCTTATGGTGGGTGAGGAGCATGGAAAGAGAGACATTGTGCTTCGATACCAAGACAACACCATCAAACTATTTCCTGACACAAACAGAGCATATGATGCCCTACAATACCCAATTTTACTGTGGCAAGGCCAAGATGGCTACCACATCCAGATTCCTAAAATTATAATTATCAAAGCTACAGGACAAAGACATCCTCACATAACTGTCTCCTCTAAAAACCTCAATTCCTTCATGACCATGGGCAGAGGAGGAAACCACATTAAGGTGTGCCAACCTCTTTCACCAGTATGTTGTCGATGAGTATGCCAAAATTGAGAGTTAGCGTCTTTACGTTTTGAACAGTACGCTCATCTCTGGGATGCAATCAATGCCGATGGAGATGCAAATACTCAGAATGTGGGCAGATTCCTTTTTTTGCCTTAATCCTTCACAGCTGGACCAAGATACGTGCATGAGAAGACTCAGGATGCCATGACGTACAACAGCCAATATGGCAGGCCCGATCTCTTTATCACCTTCAATTGCAATCCGAAATGGAAGGAGATTCAGGTTTAGCTTTATCCAAACCAAAAGCCAACAGACACACATTACATCTTAGCAAGGGTCTTTAAACTCAAAGTTGATGAGCTCATGATGCTTATTACGACTAACGAAGGCGGCGTCTTTGGAAAGACCAGCAGTAACTTGCACACCATTGAGTGCCAAAAATGTCGTCTTCCTCATGCTTACATTTTGCTATGGATGAGGGAAAAAATTCACGCAAGTGACGTTTACACATTTATCAGTGCCGAGCTACCTGACCCCCATCAAGACCCTGCCCTCTTTATGTGGTCTGCAAGCAAATGGTCCATGACCCATGTGGGCAGTTCAATCCAAATTCGCCATGTATGCAAGACCGCAGGTGTACCAATAAGTATCCAAGAAACTTCTTGAAGGACACCCAGTCGGGCCATGATGGCTATCCTCTATATCGTTGTAGAAACCCTGAGCATGGTGGATTTGAAACAACGCTCAGGCCTGCCACTAACTCTCAAATGAAGGTTGACAACCGGTGGATTGTTCCCTACTGCCTTCTGTGCAAGATTTTCGAAGCACACTTTAATGTGGAATTCTGCAATTCTGTGAAAGCCATCAAATATGTTTGCCAATACAACAACAAAGGCTCTGACATGGCTGTCTTTGCCTTACAAAACAGAGGGGCAAATTATGGATGAGGTTAAACATGTTGTCTAAGGAAGATACATCAGCAGCAATGATGCCATTTGATGAATTATTGGCTTCCCCATCCATGAGCGTTCCCCCACAGTCATCCATTTGGCAGTTCACCTCGAAAATGGCCAATGCATCTACTTCACCAAAGGAACTGCCAAACAACAGGCCCTTGCTCCACAAGATACCACCCTGATGGCGTTCTTTGTTTTGTGCCAAAGTGACCCATTTGCTGCCAACCTGCTCCACCATTAAGGTCCTCGCTGGTTGACCTGCCGACACGTGACCGGATGATATTGGAGGGGGGCTACCGGTGGACGGGGGCCGCTGGGTGGTCACGTGGAAGAGCTCTCAGGAGCCTTCGGGAAAGGGCCAGAGAGATCGAGAAGGTGGTCGGGGTGAGAGGCAGAACCAGCCCCAGCCCGGGCCGATATAACGGGGGCCCCATGTGGGGCTCGGGGTTCTTAACTGTTAGTGAGTGAAGATCCACGTCGGGTTTAAGAAGCCTCTAACCATGCTGTCCAGGACCCAGCTCGTGGTCCGGACCAGGATAGCGGGACCGTGTCTAGTTCTGCCGTAGCATGGTTAGATGGGCGTTCAACACCCGAGTGTAGGTTACGTGATGTTGTATTGAGTTGATGTAATAAATAGTGTTGCTCCCAAGACAACGTCTGTGACTCAGTTGGACTCACTACAGTAGTACAAGTAGAAGAAGGTAAACAAATCACCCAAACATCTATATATAAAAGTTAATAGTTTCGTGTGTGTGCGTGTTTTTGCCAGCAAGTGCCTGTTGTATGCACCGTTTTTTTTTGGAGTCCAGCGATTTATTCGACATGTCTCCATTTTATCATGTACTGTATCTGTATCATGTTGTGAGAAAGGGCATATGAGTGCGCAATGTTGATACACAGGTGCTTTTGTTGCACAACATTAATGGTTGACACCTCATCAATGTGGTTTTTATTTCCCGATATACGATTTATCACCTATGTGACTTTTCTTTGACGACATACACTTTTTATTGTTTTCTCAAAATAACATCACCATTTACTGTATACAGCTCAGCTATAGTACATGGTGAGGGTATGTAACAACACCACACACTCGTGTACTATATCTGAGCTGTATACAGTAGATAGTATGATGTGTAATGTTCGGAACAACCTCATCCCTTGGGTCTGGGTAACGCCCCCCCCCCCAGTTAGTGCATATAAATGACAATGGTTATCCATTACCAGTTGGTCGCGAAAGCTTGCGTGTTAAAAATACATTCTATTGATTGTTAACTGTTATGTAAAACGAATTATTACTGGCCAAGACTAATTCGTGAATATATTGAAATTAGAAAAATAAATAACTTTTACCATGTTGACAGCTGCAGGCTTTTAGTGCTGCTTGTAAGCATGTTAAGTAATACACTTTACAATTATATGCCTTGTAAAGGCATCACGTACGAATTAACTGTGATGAACAATGTATCGTAATATATTTACAAAAAAAACCCCTATGCTCTCTGCACATCTTTGGTTCACAGTGATGATGTCATCTGACTATATTTAAGACCGAAATCAGGTAGATCTCTTCACAATTCTGGCAAAATCGCCCGATGATGTTGGATGTAATTAGCAGCGAAACATCATACTCAAATTGTAAATGTTGTGGATTTACCCTCCAACACACCGGTGGGCTGAAGTAGTAACTAATTGGCATGTTTTGTTTACGTGACAAACCTTACTGGTCTTGTGGGTGGCGTGTTAACAACACATATTTACGCGATCTAACCCACAAAAATCCTTTATAATGAATAAACTGTAAGTGATGAATAATCCGTGTCTCTGCATCTTTGTCTCTCAACCTTCAGAGGAGATGCATGCGGAGTTGTGTTATGCTGAGTGTTTACTCCAGAGAGCCGCACTCACTTTCATACAGGTAATGCACACACGCTCGCACGCACATACACAATTACTCAGGCACAGGTGAGCATTGGTACAGGTGCACATTTGCGTTTGTGCATTTCAGGATGAAAATCTCATTAGCTTCATACGTGGCGGTATGAAAATTCGGAACAGCTATCAGATCTACAGGTATGTGCAGCTACACGTGTGTAATGCATTAGCCTATTTACCATACTGTCATCTTACACAGCGCTTTAAATGATATACTATTCAGTTAATTAATTATTGACTTTTTTTCATAACGAAGTTAATATCTGTTGCAACAAAACATTTCATCTGCATATTCCTAGCCCTTCCATAGATTAGCCAGTCCCCATTCCCCCTCCTCTTGCACCCCCCGCCACCCCTCGCATGTTCATTTTGTAAAAAAAAGTTCAGTGAACCTTTTAAAATCCCAACGGCAAGCTATATAAATAAGGACGTGGACCACCTATAACACCGGACCACATGTTTATTGTTGGAATGTACACATGAAAGCAGGGATGCAAAAAATATAGGTGCATTTGGATCTTTACAGACAGACAAATAAATGCTGACGGAATTCCCATGGCGAGCCAGTGACTGCATGTCCACGCGTTTTCGTCATCATGCGTGGGCAGGGATGTGCATCTATACCGTGAGCAATAGGCACGTAGCAATGCGAGAAAACACTTTTAAGACGCAGCTTCTGATGGAGAGATTGATCCTGTCAGAAAAGGGGAAGAGTCATTTTACCTTATTTTCTCACCTCTAGCCAGAGTTTCCCACTGTGTAAAGGTGTTTTTCAGTGCTACCGTCTTCACGTAGACTCGAATCGGTTGGGGGGCAAGTTCAAGGTTTCAAGTTTATTGTGTTTAACCAGGTGAGAACTAAAGAGACCAGTATCATCTCATTGACAATAATTGACTGGGTCGCAATAATGACAAAGCCAAATAATTAAGGACAGCGGCTTCACGTTTTACACGCATTTACTTAACGCGATTTTGAACTAGCTTGTTAAATGTACACTTATCTTCGTGATGCGTGCACTATCATTGAAATAACGTACTCCAACGCATTGGCCACAGTGTACGTAATGCGTTGCGAGCTAATTGTTAGTCAGGCAGCAAAGTTCAGTAGCGATGCCTCAGGTGCAGTACGACAACCACAAGGGCAGGCAGCATCAGCTTCTCCTTCTCGAGCACTAATTTGAAGATCTTTTCCACGTGAGCCACCGCTCCCTACACCAAAAATCCACTAAAGCGCTTGCCGTTACATTTAGGCAAATGGACAGACCAAAACTCTGCAAAGGGGGACAGAAATAACGCTAAACAACACAAAGAAGATTGTAACAACTATGTTATGTATTTATCGAATCGTGATCCCGAATTGTGATAGTTCTCGCATAATCTCTAAGGAGGGGTTGTAACTCATGAACACGTCTCTCATTTTGAATGCGCTACTTTACCTGACCGAGCGTCTCGGAGTGCCGCACGACTGGAAAGGACCGTATACTGGGCGCTGAGCAGTGGAAGGGAACAGTTCTTCCCCAATCATCTTTATCATCACCATTGATGCCATCATCATCATTGCAGGGAGCAGCATCAGCGTTTAACACACTCTTCTGTAATCCCAGTGCTTGAGTTTGTTTCCTGAAAACCATGATGCGCAACGCCAGTTGTGTGAATGTGGCCTTCGCCTCTTATATCAGCTCGGCTTAACTCTGTGTGCTATCTTGACATCAGCATGGGAGATGAGGTGGCAGCTGCCATTTGTGATGCTGGCCAAACCATCTCTTCACTTGTCACATACCGGCTTGAACAGATGCTCGCTAACTTCTCTTGCACCCAAGTCTGTATGGCCAATTGGGTGTTTTCTGTTAAGGTTGCGTACTCATGTGTTTCTTTGGATGCGTGTGCAGGGCTTGCCAGCAGATACTGGATCAGAACAACAGAGCTCATCACAGTGTTAACTTTCCACACTTCCAAGGAGGAGTCAAACTGGGCATCGGGGCATTTAACCTGGTGATGATATTCCTTACCACATCCCTTGTTTATGGTTCACCCTTTCTCTAGCATTCTCTTGGAAACAAACAACAGCAGGCAGAATTCACTACTGAATGTTAGTATTAGTACTTTAGTGCCTGGGCAAGGCAAGGTGCACTTTAAGGTTAAAGGTTTGCTGGTAGGTCACAATATAGACACAAGTGTTAAAGGTTAACATCATGAATGACAGATAACCTGCAATTCCTACTGAGTCAGCTCACTGTTTTAGCCATAAGATGTTCTGCACATTGAGTGCTCCTGTTTTGAACCTCCACTGCTGGTGTTTGCCAGCAGCAAGTCCTCTTAGCTGCAGGCCCGCTTATAAAATTCAATCAGCCATCTATTCCATCATGCGCTGTGCACCTTTAGCTGTGCCTCGTTGGTCAAGCAATGCCATGCATGCTGGCAGAGAGCACGCGGACTGCGCCTGATCATGGGTGTTTCGCACAGGTTGCATCTTTGCATCATCCATCAACTGAGCCCTTAATTCGCCAAAGTACATTACACATGCCCAATTCTTGTCAAGAGCTGTAAAATCTCTTTATTAGGATATTGTGGAATTAATTTCCCGAATCTTTAATCCCAGCAGATATGCAGGACATTTATGAATATACGCTTGTAGAGCACATTCTTGCAAATGAAGAAAATACTCTGTTTCTTTCAGTAAAGTCACGTAGTTAGAAATAAAATAAAACAAAAATAAAATATTTTATTTTATTTTATTTCTAACTACGTGACTTTACCGAATGAGCCAAAGAGTATGGATTCCTGATGTCACGAAAGCTTCAAATCAAGAATTTAGAAAATGTTATTTAAATGTCATATCCTCTGTTGAACTAGAGGAAAGCCCAATGAGGTTATTCCTTTTGCCAGTTGGTGTGGTTATATCCATGGTTATGTAGCAATGGTACACACACACTATTTTTCACGAGTAATTTTCACACTGGAACTCTTGAGTCACGAGCATGGCACCCACTGTAGTTCATATCTACAAATACATCCTACAGCAACACACTTGTAATCAATGTGATGTGCAATCCATTTAAAATCCTGCATACAGCCATTAAAATAAGCATTGACACTGCAAGCCCCAATAACAGCAACAGTCCTCCATTAAGTGACAGTGACGTCATCATAACACCTTTGCCAGGCAGATACAATTTGCCGTCACCTGGAGCGGCATTTACACAGAAGAGACAGACCCACATGTTACGAACTAAATGAATAATCTCTGCTATCAGATATACTTGCTTTGTTTTCTAACTTTTATGTGTATATTTTTGTATGTTTAAGAGTAAAATGGAGTGAAATTTCGATTTAAAGCTTTCGTGACTGCAAGGATTCATCTTCTTTGGTTCTTTCGGTAAAGTCACATAGAATGAGAAAAAAATAATATTATTTTATTCTCATTCTACATGACTTTACCGAAAGAACCAAAGAAGATAAATTGGAGTGCTTAGAAAATACAAGTGTGTACTGACGCTCAACCTGTGCGTCTCGGGTGACAACTTGTGTTCCTGCAAAAGCGGAGCTGGAGCTCAAAGTGCTCATGCACTTTTATTCACGGTCATTCCACACACACATACAGCTGATGCACGGTATATTTTGCTTGTGTATGTGACTCAATTGGCCAATGTATCTGTCCAGATGCTGTCCATGCTACCAAGTCGTGTATTGCGTCTCCTTGAGTTCATCGGATTCTCTGCCAACAAGGTGCAGTCTTCATCTTGTTAGCCATCGCTTATCTGGCACAGCTGCTGTGTCCTTGTAGTTATGTAATTGTGTGTTAATGTATGGTTATATACAGTCTGCAGACCAAGGGGAAGACAGGACCCAAGGCCAGGGTGGAGGGATACTGTCAGGGCACATCTCGTTGGTCATGTGTTTTACTGTGCAGCAGCTGCGGAATCTGTCAGAGGCCAGAAAGCATTGTTAAGGTGTCATGGCATCAATGGCTTTGCTTGTGGTGACGTCTTCATATGATAGGGGTAGGACCTGTCATCCTCTCGCAAATACATTGTTGCATTCAGGGTCAGGTTTGACTCCGTACTTTTATTTTACATTTCAGTGAATGGTAGCTCATTTAGTAGCCGCAGGGATGATCTGAACAAATTGCATTGCCTGCAATATGAAAAACATTCTTGCACATATGCAAGTTTCCTGAGCTTGAGGGTGGATACGAATTGTTGAACCGGTGAGTCGTTCCACGCCAAGCCCCTGTGTGTGTGCGTGGGGCGTAATGGGGGGGCCCCGAGTACCACAACCAGGAAAACGGCAATAACACGGACACGCTTAACATAATTTCAGACCACCTCAATCACATTACATAAACTAATCCAAAATGTTTTTTTTTGCGTTGGATTGCGTACATATATATGTGTCGTTAAAGTCGCCGACAGTCAATTAGTGAGGTTTGTCAAAAAAACATGCAAATTTGTTTAGTTCAGTGCATCGGTGTGTTGGAGAGTAAACCCACAACATTTACAATTAAAGTACGATGTTTCACCGGTATTTATAACCAGCTTCATCAGGCGACAGCCAGAGTTGTGGAGAAATCCTCCGGTTTCATTGTCGTCATTGTGGAGCATATAAGTACTAAAACAGAAGCAAATAAGAAGCATATATGACTACTTGGTTAAATATCTGTGAGGTGGCCCAGCCACAGGAGGGATCCCCGCTACCTCCGGTGGCTGGGACCGTCTCACATCGACAATGCCAATCTCTCACATCGACATGCCAAGCTCTCACATCGACATGCCAATCTCTCACATCGACATGCCAATCTCTCACATCGACATGCCAATCTCTCACATCGACATGCCAATCTCTCACATCGACATGCCAATCTCTCACATCGACATGCCAATCTCTCACATCGACATGCTCATCTCTCACATTGACATGCCAATCTCTCACATTGACATGCTCATCTCTCACATTGACATGCTCATCTCTCACATTGACATGCTCATCTCTCACATTGACATGCTCATCTCTCACCCTGACATGCTCATCTCTCACATCGACATGCCAATCTCTCACATCGACATGCCAATCTCTCACATCGACATGCCAATCTCTCACATCGACATGCCAATCTCTCACATCGACATGCTCATCTCTCACATTGACATGCCAATCTCTCACATTGACATGCTCATCTCTCACATTGACATGCTCATCTCTCACATTGACATGCTCATCTCTCACATCGACATGCTCATCTCTCACATTGACATGCCTATCTCTCACATCGACATGCCAATCTCTCACATTGACATGCTCATCTCTCACATTGACATGCTCATCTCTCACATTGACATGCTCATCTCTCACATTGACATGCTCATCTCTCACATTGACATGCTCATCTCTCACATTGACATGCTCATCTCTCACATTGACATGCTCATCTCTTACATTGACATGCTAATCTCTCACATTGACATGCTCATCTCCTCACATTGACATGCTCATCTCTAACATTGACATGCTCATCTCTCACATTGACATGCCAATCTCTCACATTGACATGCTCATCTCTCACATTGACATGCTCATCTCTCACATTGACATGCTCATCTCTCAAATTGACATGCTCATCTCTCACATTGACATGCTCATCTCTCACATTGACATGCTCATCTCTCACATTGACATTTTTGTGCAAATTCCTTCTCTAGCTCCGCCCACTTACCTTTGGGTTGAGCCCACCAAAATCCTATATAAACCCTTGTTGCAGCAGCTCTTTCTCCTATGTCATGCAGTTCTCCTGCTGTATCTGTTCCACCTGATGATGGTCGCTTGTGTTGCGATCGAAACGTCGCAATTTATTTTATTTTATACCTACGTGACTTTACCGAAAGAACCAAAGAGTATAAAAATAATAGTTTTTTTAAAACATCCCATCAGCGACACGGCTATTATTCAGCGTATTACAGGACAACCGTTATTCTGCATATTCGCTTAAGAATGGGGTCAGGGGTCACAGCACAGGCTTGAGCTCTGCCCACCCAGGAGCAGTGGCCATAAAGAGCTGCCTGTGCCACGTTTGATTGATGCTTGATTAAAACTTCGATTTAACCCAACTACATACAGTGTACAAGTCTCAAAATGCAAATGTGTACGTTTAAAATGTGTGCATACGTGTCACTACCAGTTTGCGATGCATATGTCATTTGACATACTGGTGGACATGGTTAAAAATTTGATTTTCCATCTCAGAATCAGAAGTGTATTTCCCGAGTAAAGCCTATTGAGCAAAGAACTTATTTATCAAGCGGGGCGACTTGTCTGGCAGACAACATGACAGCATTCCACAATTACAGATTTGCTTGGACATGGCATAAACAGTAAAATAACACAGCGTTTACAGAAAGCAAACGCACACTGATGCCTATCTGAATGCAGATTCGCATCATCATCCAGCTCAGAAATCCTCTCTTATCAAGACGCTCATACATCGGGCTAAAACAGTGTCAGATGATGAAAGTCTAGTGAGAGAGATCAAACACGTTAAAGACGCACTACGACAGAATGGCTACAATAATGCTCAAATTAACAGCACTGAATGCCAAATCACGATCGCAAAGCAATACTGCTGAAAGCGATCAGATTCTTAAAACAATTAAAATTCCATATATCTCAGGAGTAACTGACAAATTAGCCCGTGTTTTGCAAAAGCAAAACATTACAGTAAGATTTGGTACAGTACACAAAATTCCAAAGCTAGTATCTTGCACGAAAGACGAAGTACCTAAATTATCAACAGAAGGTGTATATCGGATTGATTGTTTATGTGCCAGATGCTATATTGGACAGACGGGACGTAACAGCATAAGACTAAAAGAACACCAAAGAAATATTAAATTATCTCAAACAAAACTGTCAGCAGTGGCAGAACATGCTTGTCAACAAAGACTCTCAATTGATTTTGATAACGTTGAAGTGTTGTGTAAAACTAATTATTACTGGCAAAGACTAATTAGAGAATCCATTGAAATTGAGAGAAACAGAAATAACTTTAATCGTTCTGATAGCTATAGGCTTAGTGCGGCTTGAAAGCATATTATTGAATAATAAATATTACAATTCCTTATAGGGGAAACACATATTAATTAACGGATTACTAATGTAGCATATAATCACAATAACATATTACAACTAATTACTAATCTACAACTCATTACTAATCATAACCATTGACTGATTACCAATCGATTATATAATTACAATACCCCTCCTCCGCCTCAAATCACTGCACCTGAAATGAGTTAAATGATGACATCACCCTACTGCTCTATTTCAGACCGAGAGCAAGTGAGGGCTTTACCATTCTGGCGAATTGCCCGATGATGCTGGATGTAATTACCAGCGAAACGTCGTATTCAAACTGTAAATGTTGTGGATTCACTCTTCAACACACCGGTGGGCTAAAGTAGTGAACTAATTGTCTTTGTCAACGTGACACTTTATTTTGCTGATTGGCCGTGTCGGGTGGTGGAGGGTTACGACACATTTATAAATAACGCGATCTAACCCAAAAACCTTTATTATGAAAACAAAACAAACTTAACAATATCAATTATGTTGCAGAATTACATTAGCACTTAAACTTTAGTCATTTTAATAGTCAGTTTAATTGAGGACAGGGATGCCAGAATAGAGATGCCAAGAGACAAAACTGGGTGCTTCCGAACACTTTGGGACAGCTACATTAAATGCTTTTGATTCAAATTGTGTGCAAAATCTGGGTATTAATAGACAAGCAGACTTGCGTCACAGAATTAGAATTGTCCAATGGTAATAACAGGTCAGACAAAGAAAGGGCAGATCTACTGACAATAGGCGTGTAAATGAAAGTAGCCCTGCACTGAAAAACGTCTTCTCACGTCCAAGATCATTAGCCAAGCAATGGCATCGTGACCACAGTGATGCGTCCGATATGGAGCATTCTCTGCGAACCGTAATGTAGCACTGTAAACTGAGTTAAGTTGGTTTGCGTGTACCGAAGAAGCAACGCAATATGTCACATCATAGTCAAATAACGGAATGACTGTAGCTTCACTAATCTGTTCTACGAAATGGAATTCGAAGACCTGGCAGGTTTCTGTACAAAAAGCCAACCTTACATTTAACTTTTTTTATTACCTGATCAATATACATATTGAAGGATTATGCAGCATCAATAATAAATCTAAGGTATTTATATTGATTAGTCTATTCAGTAATTAGACCATTCAGTTTTGCAATCGAGAGTGGAAAGGAAGTGTCACAAATATGTTTTTGTTTTACTACTGTTAAGTACAAATTTTATAGCCAACAGCGTCGTTTTGTAAATTAGTTTTCATATCCTTAGGTGAGCAACCCTTAGCTCAGCGGTCCCTAACCTTTTTTACACCAGGGACTGGTTTTGTGGAAGAGACTTTTTTCACGGACCGGGGGGGGGGGGGAGGGGGGGGGGTTCATCATTGGGTCTTTCCCCCTTTTCAAAGAAACTCTCCAGCGACGTTTATTTTTTACTCATTTTGGCTACTAGGGTTATTAGCTTGTGGGCTTACCAAAACTGTGACTGAGACAAGTGCGCAGTGCGGGAAAGAGGCACGGACGGAAGTGGTAAATAAAATAATGGGTGGGCCACGAGCAGACTAAAATAAGTGACGGATTATGACTTCTCATAAGGAGCGCGCAACCTAGATCCCTCGGATGCGCAG